TTAAATATAATATGGATGATTTATTACGTGAATTTCGTATTATTGACAATATGTTAACAGATATTCTACCAATGAGGGTTAGCAAGTATGAAAAAAAATCACAAAAAATATGAGTAACATAAAATTTTATCTAAACTTAAGATATAATAAACCTAAAATAATATCATTTTCATTCTAATGCTAGTTTAATTTCCGCCTTGTTAACTGAAACGTTCTAATGCACAGTTTAATTTTCATCCTGTTATCTGATAAAAAATTTGTGGTAAAACCTATTTGCCGTCTTTAGAATAATCGTATTCCACACATACGCTGTTCTAACAAATTCGTCACTTCTGTTGACAGAGCTTATTGCATTCCAACACCTGTTGTTTTCTCTGGTTACAAAATATCTGTCTACATAGTAGTAGTATTAGGAAAATGAGGGTTTGGGCGGGGGTGGGGGAGGAGGTGTGGGGGGTGGGTGGGCCAAAACCCTCATTTTCCTATTTTGGAAAAAGGGGTGGGGGATAATTTAGGACTATAATTTATACTTGTTTGGAGGGTAAAACAAAAGTGGGTTAAAACCATCATTTCCCTATGAGGGGTGGGGATGATTTAGGACTATAATTTATACTTGTTTGGAGGGTAAAAAAAGTGAGCTAAAACCCTCATTTAATTTATACTTGTTTGGAGGGTAAAAAAAATAAAGTGGGCTAAAACTCTCATTTCCCTATACTACTAATGTCATTCAATGCGTGTACGTATAGATTATCCTTGAGGGATTCATAGTTGCCTTAAATTAAATTATTTTAAGCACTACTTTATGAATAGAAGATATCTAATAAACAATCAGATTTTCGTTTCTCAGAGAGAGAGAGAGAGAGAGAGAGAGAGAGAGAGAGAGAGAGAGAGAGAGAGAGAATTATCATATAGCTACAACATTCGATTTTTTTTTCAATCATACCATAAATAATTTATTAAGAAACACATCAATAAAGTTTCATATCACATGAAAAGCCTGTTTTGTCAGAATGACCAGAATATTATCATTTTAACTTACACATGCGATGCCGTAATCTTTCATATTAGCATCATATTATTAATTCGTTATGAATATACCACTTTTGAGGAATGTAGAACTATTGCCTTTGTTTTATTCAGCTGCAAAAATGTAATTAATATTAAATTCCTAAAGAAAACTGATGTTTTCTACTTTTATGTACTGGATATTAAATGTTTTTATAGTCGACCCACAGGTTCAGGTTTTAAGCTTCAAATAATATACCCATTGGTTTGTTGACAGTACATAGCATGTAACCAATCAAATTTTAGCTCAGATTTGATGTAGCTTTTTTACCAATCTTATAATAGACTCAGATAATTGTTCGTTTGTTTGTCAAAGCTGTAGCAAGTCTTATATAAAGCAGACATGACAACAAGTACGGATATCAGATTCGGAAGCAGTCTGTCAGCAACCACAACAATGGTGAGTAAGCTGATATTGATCTGTACTACTACTATTATTTTTGCTACTACTACTAATACTACAACTACTTCTACTACTACCTCTAGTATTGCTGCTGATACTAATAACACATTAGCAATATTAGGTCCAGTTGTCACAACAGTGTAATGATTACCAATTTAACAGAGGTATCTATGTAAGTATAGACTTTGGGTTGTTAAGACAACAGCAAATCTTCAGTCATTGATCATGGATATGATTTTTTGGTTTTGTGGTAGTTAATGTTATTACACAAATTGTATAACACAATTTATTAATCAAATTTTATTAGTACAATACGTATATAATTACAAATTACAAATCCTGACCTTTGACGAGAAGAATTAACATTTGCAATTGAAGTGCTCTTTTTCAGTCATACCACATCAAGATCAGAACACGTTGTTTGCAATAATATCATTTGATTCTTTGATCTACTAATTGATTTCACTATTTCACATAAAACAAATAATAACGGACAATCGGGCACACACTACGTGTAAATATTATCCAAACTTGTTTGTAGATTGAAACATTATCATTATCATTTAGTAGCACAATCGAATATTTTTATATAGGGGGAGTCTACGTTTTCAAGCAACAGATGTCATCCTCGTCGCCGTATTTGATAATCTCAGTAATTCCGTAAATTTTGTGTCTTTTTTTTTTGAACACATGTATTCAAGAGTTCCTCCTTTTAGCTTGTTCAATGCGTCTTCAAAATATTAAACTAGATATTACAAATATTTTACGCAGACAAGGGGTGTTTTTGGAAAAGAGCAATAGACCGTTCCTAGATACGCAGACAGTGTTTTTGGAAAAGAGCAATAGACCGTTCCTAGATACGCAGACAGTGTTTTTGGAAAAGAACAATAGACCGTTCCTAGATACGCAGACTGTTTTTGGAAAAGAACAATAGACCGTTCCTAGATACGCAGACAGTGTTTTTGGAAAAGAACAATAGACCGTTCCTAGATACGCTGACTGTTTTTGGAAAAGAGCAATAGACCGTTCTTAATACGCAGACAGTGTTTTTGGAAAAGAACAATAGACCGTTCCTAGATACGCAGACAGTGTTTTTGGAGAAGAGCAATAGACCGTTCCTAGATGGTTTTAATCAGATAGCAATTAATTAGACTATATAATCTTAGAACATTTTAGAACTCTACTTTTAATCTGACTGTACTCGCATTATAATGCCAATTATTATGATACGGATCATAAGATACAAAGATTTCTTTCCGCGTAAATTGAAGACGACTACTACTAATACCTTCTCGTCGAAACTGCCGTTTTTAATTACAGAATTGCTTTGAAATATTTCCCAGTAATGAGCATATAACCAGTTCGTACATGTCTCATTTTTAAAATTCTAACTTTTCATAAATTATTTATTGTAGGTATTCTAAATATATTTGTTCTCAGGTAGCCAAAGAAATGATCCATACTTTTGATTGGTTCCCTTTCTTGCTTGGCTTACTTTACTCGCGTGTTTTGTCAATGATGAGTGTTTTTAAAACCATTAACTTGTTGCGGTTTCATCTCAGTCCATTTACTGATTTCATTTTGATGAACTACTTTTGTGTCCTAGCCTTTGAGTTCTGTGAAATATTCTTACTACAAGTAGGTTTTGGTCTGACTAAGATGACAAATATTCAATTTATTCAAAAATTACTGTCGCTATAAAAGTGTCCTTTATACTTTATACAATGCAATAATAGCATTCTGTATAGCATCCCCGTTTTATTTTAAATTTTCCAATCAACTTGTATTTTCAAAAGACATCAAATAAAGTTGTATCCACTGTTTCATATTCCTCTATGTAAGATGGGTCCGTCTGTAATACTGTTCACACATGTGACTGACATTATGCTGTGTTCCCTGTTTAGTTTCGTTTACTGACAGCAAAGCTCACACACACATATGTATGTATGTATGTATGTATGTATGTATGTATGTATGTATGTATGTATGTATGTATGTATGTATGTATGTATGTATGTATGTATGTATGTATGTATGTATGTATGTATGTATGTATGTATGTATGTATGTATGTATGTATGTATGTATGTATGTATGTATGTATGTATGTATGTATGTATGTAATATAATAATGCAGTATCGTGTTTTATACTTTACAAACGGCATTATCCTTGACTCCTCTCTCTCTCTCTCTCTCTCTCTCTCTCTCTCTCTCTCTCTCTCTCTCTCTCTCTCTCTCTCTCTCTCTCTGAACACCAATTAATCAGACTTCAAACCAAATAAAATCTATATTAAATTTAGTGTAAATTTCCATGTTTCCTAATATCCCCTCAGCCTTTGAAGCCTTTGCTTTACAAAAATATTAGAATGACCAATAATTGTTGAATACGCAAATTTAGAGTACTTACAAATAAATATGAACAATTTCTCAGCTATAGTATTTATAAAAATCACGTTAATCACTTAAAAGTCATTTTATAGCTTGAGATCTGCATTTATATAGGTAAGGAATTGCAAAGGTATAAACCTCGTTTCCATACGCAAAATGTATTGTTATACAAGCGTTGAGGCAATAGTAATTGATAAGGCCTAAAGAAAGTAAACATTTCAATGCATACAACTAACAACATCCAAGACAAGGACATCGGCAAACTGATAACTAACAGTATGATGCCGCTATTCCGCTTCAGTAGTAAATGATTTGAATTATCGCTCCGGTGGTCTAGTGGTTATAGCGTTCGCATTAAATGCGGGATGCGGAAGGTCGTGGGTCCGAGCCCCGGCTGAGACATACCAAAAACTTACACAAATGGTACTAACAGCTGCTTCGCTTGACGCTCAGCATTAAGAGGTCAGTGTTATTACTGGTCGGCCTGATGTCAGGATAATATGACTGGGTGGGACATCATGTTATATGTCTGCCCAAGTGCTAGACATCACTATAAAGTGCTACACTGCAGACATCGTAGCGATATGACCTAAAAATTCTTATAGCTAATTTAACAATCTAAATCACACACACACACACACACACACACACACACACACACACACACACACACACACACACACTCCCTAACACACACAGTATATGACGTTTTTCAGGGTGTTGGATCCGTGGCAAGAGTATTAACTGAAATGTGCTAAGTAATAAATTATTTATGAAGAAAACATTTTTCGCATTTGTTATCGTTATACAGCACATGTATTTTTCTTTTTTTTTTTCTTTTTTGCAAAATTGAAAAGGGCATGATGATTGTACGATACGCAAACGGTGCGGGAAACGACACCTTACATGATACAATGGAATAGTTGTTTCAGCATTTAGAGCAGTCATTCCCACAATTCTTGTGTTGTAACTCTAAATTGGCCGCAACAGTATCTCCCGAGATTCAGACTTATGATGCTAATGACCCAGTGCGAACCTGATATGGGTCATAACTTAAAATTGGCAGTTAATTCACGTATTAATAGAGTAAATAAAGTTTACAAGACATCGATTTGCTTTTAACTTTCTTTTAACTTTATTGTTAAATGTGAATCACATCAGTGAACGGAATGTCAAAATCTATATCTTGCACGATGCTTGAAACTTTACCGAACGGAGAGTAAATGGAACGCAAAAGATAGTAAAACGACGTCACCATTACTGCAGCGTTTCAGTACGTACATGTTTATAGCTGCTTTCATTAGACTGGGTAATCCATGTTTTGGCTGTTTTCAATGGGTAACCGATATTATTAAAGGCGTATCAAATGGTGAAAACGATGAAAACGACTTGGAACCTTTAAATTACAAACATTAACCAATTTGCATGCTAGAGTATACCTTTATAATTGAGTTCGAATAATTTTGAATATTTTGTTTCATTTATTCTGACATTTTTAAATAAGTTCTATATTTGTTAAGGTGTATCAAACAGACTCTACAAACCAAGACCTTAACTCAATAAGTTAACTTCATAAAACAATTTTTCTTCTTTCAGGACAAGTTTGTCAGAAATTTCATCTTTTTTGGAATATATATGATGAATTGTTTTCCCTCCGTGCAAGCAGCCGTCATGCAAAAAGGCTGTATACATGGGGGAAACATTATTCCATTAGGAACCAACAAAACCGTCTTTAATGACACGAACACTTGCGTACATGTTGTCTGTAGAGAAGATGGAAGCACCACAACAATGGAGTTATTAGGATCCGACTGTACCAAACGCAACTTTTCCTCAGATGCTACATTGGGACCAGGCTGTATACATGGGGGAAACATTATTCCATTAGGAACCAACAAAACCATCTCTTTCGACGGGAACATTTGCATAAATGTCATCTGTAGAGCAGATGGATCTACCAAGACCACAGAATTATTTGAAGGATGTTAATCCTGCATCCCTCACATTTCTGCAGTATTCAGTTAAATAAGTAGCGAAGGATTACTTAGAGACAAAACAGATGCAATTTGACAATGGAATTCCGAAACTTAAAACATAATTTTAAAGTTCTAATCGATAAGAATATTATGGAGGTTTAAATATTATACTGCTGTGGTTTGCTGCTTAAACTCTTGTCATAGCTATTACTTACAATGCATCAATTTGTAACGTCGTGTGTTCCCTACAAAATATTTCAAATTATTACAATATAAGGAATATTGTTGGAAAAACGTTTAGTTATTGTATTCGTAAGATATCTAAGAGGAATTATTCAGTCCATTAATTTTCTTTATAAACAATTAATTTTAGTCGTTTCATTGCTAAATTTATATACAATATATACATATCTGTAGCGTTAAATTTCAGTAAAATATATCAAACAATAGGAAACGTTTATTTCTTATCGTTTTAACATTTACACATTTCCTCGCTTAAAAATGGTGCTATTTTCATAATTTGCAGACAGGAATAAAATTTTAGGTTTTTCATTACAAATATTTGATGGTTTTCTAAGTAATTTCTTAACATAATTAAAACAAATATGCAAGTAACATTTCATGCATTTTGTGTGATTTTTTTCCGTCTGTCTCTTCTCCATCGTCTTTTCTCACTCCCTAATGATGTCATTTCCTATGTGAAACGCAAAGGTGCCAAAGAATGGTATCTGAGTCATAGTATTTTATGTACAGTAATATTAATATGTGATGAAATGAACTGTCATATATCTCTGCATAGAATATTTTATTCCAGGTAGATTCAAGTTTGCAGCTTGATCTGATGACTAAAACAAATAGCATTGCATCCATGAATTATCAGGGTTTAGGTGGCAGATCCAATAGGAGAGGTGTCTTAAATTTTGTAGAATAAAAAGTTTTCAATTAATTTTATATGCAAAAGAAGAGTATTGTATACACAGTAAGTGGGGATACTGCTTTTTAGGAATTCTTCAAGTCATTCTAGCAAGGTAGGAGTTTCTTTTAACAATAATTTAGAATTAAAAAATAAAGCCAATCGTAAAAGATAGTAATTTCGAAAGATAGTAGCAGACTAATCAAATACACTCTAAACGACGATTGTGTAAGTGCAATTGCATTAGTGGAGCCGAGTGTAGACTCGTGTTCTTGTATAAAACCTATAGGGTCTTTAGAGATCAAAGGCCAAATTATTCGTCAGACCGTATCATTTATTGATGTGATGTCGTAAGCACCTGTAAGAAATTCTACCATATTTCAAGATGTTTCACCATCTACTGAAAATGTGTAGTTCGCTGGTAGGCCAAAAAGGTGCGGTCGGGTATTATGTTGAGGGGGGGGCGAGTGGCCGAGTGGTCTAAAGATCTCGCCGTTACGGACCACTGCCACCTCACCTCTGTCTGCGTGGGTTCGAGTCTTGATCTTGGCCAATATGGGAATGTCGGAAAGCTTGCCAGTAGCTTTTCGTGGATCGGTTGTTTTTTTTTTTCAGTGGTTTTCCCAGGTTCTTCCAAAACAATTTATACTGACCGCCATATATAACATATATTATGCTGAAAATGACGTTAAATCCTATGACAACAACAACATATTATGCGGAGCCGTTGAGGTCAACGTATGATGCCGGCGATGAAGACGCACTCTAACGTATCGATCAACATTTACTCCTGATATGTCCACTATTCTAACGAATATCTTGGGCTGAAAAATGACGTGAAACTCTACAACAACTACAACAAATAACGAGTCGATCTTGGTAAAACAAATTCTCGGATCTATTGCGGTGCTATTGTCTAAACATCGTGTGCGAGTACATAATCGATATGTTAACATTCACCGTGACCAAACTATTGTGGAAAGATTTAACTGCAAATTTGTGGAACTGTATTCAATCAGTTCATGAATGATTTGTTAATGAGGTCTCAGAGTGCTAGCACCCTAAAACGATATCAAGAATGGGTAGCGCGTCTTCCAGTTGTTATAGCATCATTAAGCAATTAAGTCGCTCGCATTATTATACTTAAACCAGCTAGTGCAATTTGACTAAAGATTTTTAAACTTACTAAACTTAATAAAGAAAATGATATTCCAGCTGGCACTGTTACAACCACTCGGAAACAAGTTTGGTTGGTATCTGTATGCACATAGAGATTTAGAAAGCAGGAAATGTAATGATATTGACTCTGCATGCTTCTTCAACGTGGTTACGATTTAGAAAATAATTGATATTCGAAGACAACCAACATCTTACGGTTTTGGACCAAGTGAACTTGACCCACACGGGGCAAATACTCCTTGATGAGCATTTGCACTAGAGAAATTGCAAGTTGTTCCAGCTAATATGAACTACCAACATAACTTAATTTGATCCGCTAGTGCATAGTAAATTGATACGCAATAGCATGATACCCAAATGCACAGTTAGTGATTGCACCGGGGAGTATCCATCGCGTGGAATTAAGAGGTGTCAAACTCACATTTGTTCATCGGTAAACAACCATGCAATTTTTCTGACACCATACCATATTTGCTGTGTTCGCGAAATCAAGTCGATGTCGAAGTCCTATGGCACAATAATCTGCTGAATACCTTTAGCCAATACGACGTTCGTCGAGACGCCAGTTACAATGGAGTACATCTTAGGTCGTAGTCCTAGATATTCTTCGATTAGCTTACCCTATCACTAGTCTTTGAACTTACCAACAACCTTTATATTGGTGTTACTAAACAAAGGATGTTCGTTCGGGTACTCACTGGTTCGACTCATTAACCAACTTGGTTGTGCTATGTTTGCGTTCATATCGTTTCATGTTATATGGTATCGGCATCTAGTCAGTCTTGGTGTAAAGGATTTTCATTCGATTCTGGCAAAACGATTTGATTTTATCTTTGTAGAATCCGTGCATCAGGGACTTCGACAAGTGCAGCACGGACTGTCCAATATAGATTGGTTGTGTCAGATTTAGTTTTGAATACTGCCACAACATAACTGTATTACATGAAGCGCAGTGATTGTTTTTTTTTTTTTTTGTTATCGTAGTGTTATGATCAAGATCAAGGTCGCGTTACTTTTATTTTGTTTTGTCGGTTCACTGATAATCAGATAATTTCTTCTGTAGCAATGGTGCTCTAATTTCCTGATTTGATCCTTATCCACGATGTTGTGAATCTGAATAGATTCAGGAATAACCCTGCTAGTTAAGACATTCTTCGGACTCACAACTGCTAAATATATTAAACTTGGCCATTCGATACGATCATAAAAAATCCCAGTTTTAGTATTAAAAATGGTAAATCCCCTGGACTAGTGTATGGGTATATCCCCAGGGTCCAGTACTAAACGCGCTCTTCTCGATCACATCAACGGATACATCTACAGGGATAACAACA